TGGCTGTGTCTAACAGAGGAGGATTACTACGAGGATGATGAGGAAGATGACCCTGATGCCCTTAAGGATCCTCTCTATCAGATTGATCTGCAGGTGAGAATGTCCAGAGAAGATAGATGTCTTGCAAGTACACGGTCTCAAGCCAGAAACAGGAATATGGGCTCCAACCCATCATAGTTCCCAGCCTCAGGGCAGAAAGTTCCTGCCTTGCCGAGTAGTCAGAGGCTCCGTGTGGTCTGGGACTTTGCACCTTAGTATTTTATACCTACCAGTGTTGCAGTCCAGCTTCTTAAAACCCAGCTATGTTGTGAAGGTCCTCGGGTGGAAATATGAGATCTATTGGGAAAATTTTGTTTCTCTATGGACTTTAGTCTCTGGGTTGAGCCTGAACTAGATCCAGGAATGTAGAAAGCCATCCCTCAGGGTGCTGGCAATTGTCTGACAGCCAGTGCTTCCTATACCGCCGATAGTTCTCGCCCCTTACAGATGGTAAGCCTGAGAACCTGCAGTAAGGCCACTCTTTTTTCTTCTCTGCAGGCCTATCTCACGGACTTCCTCTGCCAGTTCGCTCAGCAGCCCTGCTACGTCATGTTCTCAGGTCACCTTAATGACAACGAGAGGCGGGTTCTGCAGACCATTGGCATCTAAGAAAGGGAGACTTTCCAACTCTGCTCCTCCTGGCCCAGCCACAAACCATTTTGCAGCCCTTAACTGGCCTTGAGATGTACTTTCTTTTCAACCTAGAGTGGCCTCCTGACTCTTGGCCCTTGGCCTTTGCAGAGTGACACTGACAATTCAGACCAAGGTCACCAGTGCTGTCACTTAGGAATACTGGAACAAAGGACATTTCTCAAAGTCCCCCTGAAGATACTCCATCTCTAGAACCTTTTTCTCCCCGACCGTGCCCCCACCTCTGTTCCTAGAGTCCTCTGCCGGCCACTCCAGAAACATAGTGCCCAGAAGGATTACGTGTTCATGGATTATTTTGCCCCACCTCAGGAGCACAGGGAGTCGTGACCATGTACATTCTAAAACAGACCTGTTTACTTTCATAGGACATCTGCTATGTTCAGATAGGAATACCCTTGAGAGATGATAATGCTTTCTGCTCTCTACCACAGATGCTCTGGGTTTTCCATAGGAATGAGAGGCAGCAGCTACATTCTGACCCCTCTCCAGTGACCTCTCCTTGTCTCCCTCCTACAACACTAAGGTTCCCCTGTCACAGGAAGTCCTCTTGTTTTTGCCTCATTGCATGACACAGTCCCTCCCCCCGAGCTATTCCTATGTATACACGCACACACAACATCAGCCAGAGAGATGGCAATTTGTTTTTCCTTTTTTTAGAAAAAAAAAAAAAAAAATGGGAAAAACATTTTTTTTAAAGTCCACCTGACCCAACTGTATTTAATATTCCTCCCCAACACATCACCACACACTCTGATATTCAAAGGTTACCCCCTCTCCCTCAGGAATCCTCTAAAGTGGTTAAGTTGTAGCCCTCAAATTTGCAATGTGTATTTTTCTAGGAGAGTAAAGTAATCTTTACAAATGAATTCAGTCCACATGGTATAAGGTGTCCTGGCACCTCTGCCTTCTGTTCCTTTTAGAAGGAAAATAAAAATAAGGGGGAAAAGATTAGGCGGAGCCATGCAGACACCTGAGTGTGTTCTAGCTAACCTAGCCCAAGATGATTCTTAGAGAACTGGTATCATCCAGTCAAATATTTTTAAGGGAGGTCCCTTAATTGGGAAATGCAGTCATTGTGGGTTCAAAAAGTGAATGATAACCAGTGAAGGGGAGGAAGGTAAAGCCCAGCATTCCCTTTTTTTTTATAATGCCGACACCTACTGCCCCAGTTTCAGCCACTACAGAAGGTTTCTTTAGACTGATGATCAAGTCTCTGTTCTCAAGGAAAGGTCCCCACTTGGGGCATTTACTGTACAGGACTGTAATTGGAAGCCTAAGGATTTTGTAGCCAATAGTGATTTCACACCACTAGGTGTCCCTGGTGTACAACTCCCACATCTGACTGAGTCGGGAAAAGTGTCTGTTAACGTCACTGTCTGAAAAGTCTGAGGGCCTGTGCACAGCCTGGTGTGCCAGCCAGGTTCTGAGACTAATAACTGCCCCTGTGATTTCTCTCCCTTGAGTTGGGGAAGTTGCTCATATTGGGGAAATGATGGAAGTCTGGCTAATTGGTGCTCAGGAAAGCCATTCTGAGCCTTAGAAACTCACCCCGTGGTTATTGATCTCAAGGCAGTTCCAGTTAGTTTCAGTGCTGAAGGTTCCACAGGGCCAAATCAACCCCTGATTGTGGCACAAAAGAATGGTCTCATGCCAGTGGCATTGGACTGCTGAGTTTGGGAAGGCTTGGGGCTTTCACACATAGACTGAGAAAGATATAGACCCCTCCTGGGCCCACTAATGACAAAAAGAGCCTATCTCGTGCCAAAAATGGTCTCTTGACAAGGGTCCTCTCTTCCTGCTCTCTCGCTAGTTTTAGGGGAGGACTGGAAAACTTGAGTTCTGAAGGGAAAGGGTCGTAGGGTCACCTGAGGGGCCACCCCCAACCAACAGACATACTGTTGTCAGTTAAGAGCAGAGGGTCTTGGACCCTTTGGTGTGCAGGCACTTCCTGCTCCCACAGCATTTCAACTATCCCATTTAACCTTTATAGCAGGTACACAGTAGATAATATTCCCATTCCCATTCTCTATTCTGAAAAGAGTTCAGAAACTACATCCAGGGTCTGCGAGAAGAAAAATCTGCTTGAGTCCAGGAGTATTGACAAAAAGTTGAACTCTAGCTCCTTTTGGTCTCCTGTGTTTTTGGCCAAAGAACCGGCTTCAGTCTGAAAAGGTCAGGGCCAACTGGTTAGAAAGAATTGAAGTTCAAGATAAGATAAACAAGGGAATAATAAGAGTGCTGAGCTGCTCTCAAATTCTCCAGGTCTCCTGACCCTGGTGAGTAACCGCTAGGACACCAAGGGCTTTCCCAAGACTGTTGAGCTCTTAGTGGAAAGAACTGAAAAGAAAATGGAAGAAATACCAGAAGACAGAAGGTGAAAGTCCAAGAACTGAAGGAAACTGGTTTTCACAAGTGCCCATCGGAAGGGTGATACTGATCAGGGACTATTAGATGACTCAAGCCAATAAATAGGAATGTTGTAATTAGTGCTTAATATAGGGCTTAATAGATATTAGTTGTGAATTCAGAACAAGTGATGCAAAACTAGCCCCATAGTCTGATTTTGTTAACAGATTAGATAAAATCTGGACATGGTAAAATCAAAGCATTAGGGAGATAGACCAGTTGGTAACTGGCCACCAACTCTCAGACTACAAATTGGCATGTTGTGGAATGGCTTGTGCTGTGCCCCAGGGCTCTGTCCTTGGCCCCTCCTTTGATATTAATGACAGATGAGGGAGTTTTTTTTATGCCTTACCCATTCCAAAAGAGGATCTGAGGCCCAAAAGAAACCCTACTAGATAGGAGAGAGATGCTGATCAGATTTTTAGATAACAGGAAACCCCTGGGAAGGATGACAATTTAGGATTCAAACAAATATGTCCATAACCTGTAAAAAATGGGCAGAATTGAAAGGTAAGGTTGTTTCAAAACTCAGATTAATGAGTATGAAGAAAGTTGAGGATTACAGAGTACTGTACTCTTGTTAACGATTCTGCGTGCCAGTAACAAGTGTTTATTATGTTGAACTGTTGGCGTGTCTTCACTAAACTCTAGTGTAGTTCTGGCTGGGTTAGTAGACACACATTGTGTAAGATCATTTCAGTCTTCTGTGCCTGTCAGCAATCCTAGAGTGCTCTGTTCCATTATGGTGCTCCAGCAGGAGGCTCCCTGACAGAAGGCGAGCCCATCTGCAAGACAAAAACCAAGAACTGGAGGACCTAAGCTGTGTCAAGGGGGAAGAAACTTGAAGGAGCTGAGAAGACTCAGGGAAAACAGGACACTGCTTTGGAAAATGAAAGGGTTGTCCAATGAAAGATCTACTTCTCACCCCAGCCTGGCAGACCTATGGCCAATGAGTAGATCATAAACTCAAAGCCAAATTCTGGCTACTATTATGTTTGTTCTGTTCAGTAAATATTAAATTTCTATTACATGCAAGGCCAATGGTAGATGCCGGAGAGGCTTGGCCCCTTCCCTCAAGAAGCTAGTCTAGTAGGGGGTCAGAAATAGCACAACGAATGTGGGGAGTACCATGAGAGGAAGAAATACTGGGGTCAATCCCCAATACCCAAAAAAAGGGGATGGTTAATGGTAAGTGGGAGAAGTCAGAGTTGCATGGAGAGGTGACCCTTGACCTGCAAGGTGGCTAACAACTACTGAGATTTCAGGACCACTCACTAAATGCCAGTGACTGTTCCAAAGTGTTGGATTATCTCGTGTAGACCATCTAATAACTTTACAAAGTGCATAATTTTGTTTATCCCATCTACAGACTGATGAAACCAAGGCACAGAGATATTAAATGCTACCTGCCGAAAGTCACATAGCAAAGTGTGTGATTCTGATCCAAGTGGATTGCACTTTTTGCCAGTACTCTGTCTTGCCTCCCCTATGCGTTTGCCAGGCAGACGAGGGTGGGGTAGGACACTCTAGAGAAAATATCATTAAGAAGAGACCCATCATGGAATAGGATTGCATTTTCACAGCTTATATGCAGGTTAAAAGATTGGAATTTATAGTTCACAGGACTCTTGGCCAGAAATAAGCAGGAAGGAAAAGTGAGAGCCAGATGGTGGAGGATCCTATAGGCCTTCCCCCTCTTCAGGGAATGGGAGACCACTCAAGAATTTTAGGCAGAGAAGTTACACAATCAGGTTTGCATTTTGCTTATTTTTATTTCTATTTTTTATTTTTTTTTTATGTTTCTTTTTGAGAGAGCGCAAGTGAGCTGGGGAGGGGCAGAGAGAGAGGGAGACAGAATCTGAGGCAGGCTCCAGGCTCTGAGCTGTCAGCACAGAACTCAATGTGGGGCTTCAACTTGTGAACCTTGAGCTCATGACCTGAGCCTAAGTTGGACGCTCAACCTACTGAGCCACCCAGGTGCCTCCAGGTTTGCATTTTATTTTTTTTATTTTTTTTTTTTAATTTTTTTTTTCAACGTTTATTTATTTTTGGGACAGAGAGAGACAGAGCATGAACGGGGGAGGGGCAGAGAGAGAGGGAGACACAGAATCGGAAACAGGCTCCAGGCTCTGAGCCATCAGCCCAGAGCCTGACGCGGGGCTCGAACTCACGGACCCCGAGATCGTGACCTGGCTGAAGTCGGACGCTTAACCGACTGCGCCACCCAGGCGCCCCCAGGTTTGCATTTTAGAAAGCATACTGATGTCTGTCCGGACAGAACTAAAAGGGGAGGCTGGAGGCAAAGTGCAGGTGAGAGAACCAAGAGCTTGGACTCGGCGGTAGCCAGAGAGGGGGTTGGAGTGGAAGAGGTCTGATTGTGAAAAGTTGACAAGGGTGGGTCTAGAGGGCCTGACGGTGGAGAGGGAAAGGTCTTCCCAAAAATGACAGCTGGCTGGGGCTTACTTAGACTAGACCTTCACCACACTTTGTCAGGACTTGGATAGCAAAGCAGCGAAAAGTAATTGCTAATAAAATTCCACCATTTGTAAATATTTACCTTTCTCTGATGGATTAGTACAAGTTCAACCTTAGCCTTCTAACAAGGGCCCTCACATTGTTTGTTTTGTTTTGGGAGGGGCTTGTTTTGAGTAGGTGAAAATAGGGTGGCATTAACCATTCTCCTAAAATTGCCAATTACACTGGGTCTGTTAGACTTATATGGTACACGTGATTTTGTAGCGGATGTGCTGGCCTGACCTGACTAGAAGGCCTAGGAAGTCCCTTCAAGTCTTGAGTTATTCTGATGTGGCATGATTACATAGCTAGAAGGTAAGGAGGGAGCTGGGGTGACATCCCCTGCGATCCGTGGTTCCCATATTTGTAAAATGGAGAACTAATACCCACCTCAGAGTTGTAGTTAGAATTCAAGATGTCTTAATTGAAGCACTTCAGATGGAAGAGAGTGCCTCTTTCCTCCGTGTCTCCCCCGCCCTCCGGTAGCTGGGAGCTATGTTTGGCTCAGTCTCCCTGACTCACTGGATTAGAATGACTCAATTCAGTTCCACAGATGCTGCTGCTAAATTAGGGTCTCAGTGAGCCTTTGGGAGGACAGCTCCGCGTGAAGTGCTGCAGCACTGCCATCCTGCCCAGGAACAGGATCGAAACCGGTGCTGGCTGCAGCCCTGCCTTCCACCTGCTGCGGACTTTTTCTGTAATATCTACATGACCAATGTATTGGTTTGCTTTCACTAGATTTCCCGCCGCCCCCCCCCCCCCACGTATTCTAAGAACATAGCCAAATTCTTTACATTTTCTTGCCTTAGTTGCTTTTGCAGAGTGGGAAGCAGAGCTGCTTGAGGATCGCCATGCTTCTGGATCCTAGGGTAAAAGCTTGAGTGAACTGAGATAAGGCCCAGGGCCGTGGAGGAAGAAGGAAAGGAGAGAGAGAAAAGGAGAGGGGTGCCAGAAAACGAGAAGGAACAGAAGTCCGTGGGGCCTGAGTGGTGAGGACCTTTACCCAATCCTGGCATAGCACTTGGGGACAGAAGAACTTCCTAAGGGAAAGGCTGCCTGGAATCCCTGGGGAGGCTGCATACTGGGCACCAGGGCTCCCTGGAACAGTTCCTGGGCCTGCGGCACATAGGCCAGGACTGTTGGCACTTGCAGGCCCCTGGCTGGCAGAAGACAAGGCCTGCAGGGTCCACCCCCAGTACTTTGCCTTGTGAGAGATCCCAGGACCTTTTCGTGATCCTGGTGGGGGGAGCAAACCATAATGACGACAGATAATTCCCCCACCAGCTGTGAGGATAGAGACTCCATCTGATCTAACTGGATTAAAAGAATAAATGTGTCACTTCTTTTACACCAGGTTTTGGGATTACAAATTCACACCTGATCTCACGTCCCTCACTGGCTTGGCTCTCTTGCCTCGTTCCTGACTCACAGAGGTTCACCAGCAAGAACACAGAAATATATGTGGAGGCAAGAGGGTTGGGTTCCTGCCCAAGCTCTGCTAGTGAACTATATCATGTGACCCTAAATAAACTCTTTTCCCATCGAACAGGGAGAGAGAGAGAATGGGCCAGAGTGCCTCTGCCGGCTGACTTGGGGATTCTACTGGGTTTGACTGAACCATAGTCCATTTACAAATGAGGAAACCAAGCCCAGAGGAGTTAAGTGGTTTCTCCAAATGTGGAGAGCCAGGAAGTGGCAAGGCAGGACTCATGCTCTGGTTAGGGGTTCAGAGCGTGAATTCTGGAGCCAGACTGCTTGGGTTTGAATCCTGGCTCTGCCATCTACCAGATGGGTGACTTTGGGCAAATTACTTAAATTATCTGTGCCTCCGCTTTCTCATCCACATAATAGGTATAATATTAGTTATCTGCTTCATGAAGTCATTTTGAGGATTAAAGTCAACATAATAGTGCTGCCTCATAGTAAGTAGTAATTTCTGCCATCAGTCTAATTCCAAGCCTAAAGCAACTCTCAATATCCAAACTTGACCTTGCAGAGGCTGTCATACCAACAAAGGCCCTGTACCTCTGTCTGTCCAAAAGTTCCCACCTGTGCAGATGATGAACAGGGCTAGGCTGAAAACGGAGACCCCAGGGTGGAAAGGACCAGCTGGAGGGCTGTGGCCCCTGTCTCCAAACCCTTCCCAGGAGACTGAGCGAAGATAAACAAAAGAGCTGTAAACAGAAACTTCTTCCTTCCTTACCCTCAGATCCTCAGATCCCAAAATAACACTTGTCTGCCCCCACCCTGCCCAGCTGGCAGAGGTGCAGTCTGAGTAAGGTGCCATTTAAAGATAACCTGGCCCTCCCCGTCTGCCCCACTGGCTGGGCTGGGCTCCTGAGGCTGGGCACCGGCTGCCTGGGACTACTAATGCTCCCACAGCCCCCCAGGGCAGGCTGCTCATGGATACCACCCAAGCCAGCCCAGCTAACCACTCCTTTCCCAAGGCCCAGGGCTGTGGAAGTTCTGCCCAGGCTGACCTGGGCCTCTGCAAAGAAGCAGAAGCCTGGCGTTCTGGGGAAGGTAATCCTGCAAAGGCGTTGCTAAAACCCCTCTAAGGAAGAGTGTTCCTTCCTACCCGCAGCTGGGCCAGCAGCGAGGCTGATCCCCACCATCCTTCACCCACTCCCAGACCCCTCCCACCAAGAGGACAAAGTCACAGTCTTTCATTTGCAGTGAGAAAGATTAAAGCTGGACACCAGGGAAGACCTTATGTTGCAGGAGAGATGTTTGTTTATTTGGGGACAGCGGGAGCCAGGAGATCTGGTTCCTTTAGTCCCCAGCTAAGCCATGAGACCTTGGCCAAGTTTCTGGCTCTCTCCTGGGCCTTGCTCCCCCGCCCTCCCCCAGCTCTGGGTTGCAAGGAAGAATCAGTGTGTCTTCAACACCCTGGAGGAGGGTGTAAAGAGATCAAATCAGAATGAGGAAAGGGCTCAGGGTCCTTGGGTAGAAGGAAACGTGTAATTACCTATCTGCCGGAGGTGACTATGCCAGAAGATAGCTGGGAGGAGAAAGACTGGAGAAAGCACAGCCTCTTGAGGAAAGCACTAGACCAGCCAGAGGCAAGTAGAGGAGAGGAAGGGAGCTCCCCTTATCTCACAAAGGCTCAAAATCCCCCTGGGCCAGAGAGCTGGGTGTGGCAGGAACCTCTGGAACGGAGGCTCCAGGACTCTGGTCCTGGGAAGGCAGGAAGGCCTTGGGAGCCCGGGCCTACTCACTCAGCTATGATTTGAAGAAGAGCAAGAAGGGGGTTGGGCGGAGCCCTGGGCTGGTCATTCAGCCCAGCAGTGAGATGACTCAGCAGCACACGGGTACCACAGTCCCAGGCGAAGCCCAAACTGGGTCACAGGCATGGTCTAGCCCCTCCTCTCTACCCAGCTTCCACCGCCCTTCCCCACTCTAAATATCCCGCTATCTTCCCACACAGACTCCTGCGAGGGATAAGGGCTGGATATCATGGTTTCCCCAAGTACGCACGCTCTATGCCAAGCATAGCAGCGAGCATTTTAGACATGTTACAGGAGAGGCAGGCGGTGGGGTGGAAGGGCCTGGACTTTGAAGTCACACAAGCCAACCTTCAAATCCCAGCTGTGTAAGCTGGGAAAATTCACCTCCAGCCTCTGTACAATGGGAAACTCATTTGCAGTGTTAGCTGCTAGTATTATTATTATCATATTCCAGGCACCCCGGGGAAAGCCTGCTACTGGAAAAGTCCATATTTTGTCTCATTGCACATTAATTACTGTCTGCCTCTCCTATTCCAGGAAAGTGCCTCTGCCCCTCACTGAGGCCTGGGAGAGTGGCTTGGTGAGGGGAACAGGCTCCCGTGTGCCCTGAGTAGAGGAGGTACAATGAAGCCCCTTCAAGGCCTGGAGATTTGGACAATCCCCTTCTCAGGGCCCCCAGTCCCTCCCTAGCGCTCCCACCCAGCCTCTTCCCACTCCCTCCCCGTTCCATGGTCTCTGGCAGGACTCAGGTCCACATGGCAACACAGCTAGCCTCAGCCCTCCATCTCCAGGCTCTCCCAACTGCTGCCAGTTCTCCCCCCACCCCCGCCCCTGCCCACAGACCCTCCCCCACCCTCTGTCCCAGTCTAACGCTCCTGCCGTGTGGACTGACAAGTTTTCCTAGCATTTTCCAGTTAGAAAATCACTGATGGTGTTGTGAGAGTTAGGTGTCGTGGCCAGCTGGAAGCATCAACCAGGTTGAGACTCGAGGAGGACTAGTTGGAGGAATAAAGGAGAAAAGCAGGAAAGTAGCCAGAAAAGGATGAATTTGGGGAAATGTGGTTTTGCTTTGCTTGGTTTTGTTTCGTTTTGTTTTACACGGAGAGACTTGAGATTTTTTTTTTTTTTTTTTTTTTTTTTTCCTCTGGGGAAAGAAGCTGATAAGAAAGGAGAAACTAAGGATGCAGAAGAGAAGAGATAATGCTGGGAGAGGGATCAGATGGGGTCTAGAGTACACATGGAAGGGTTACCCTTGGACAGGAAGAGAGACAACCCTTCCTCTGAGAGTCAGTCAACCAACAATGATCACCTAGGGCCCGGACTGGGTGACAGCAGTGAACACGATGGTCACGTGGTCCAGCACTCCTGGAGCTCGTGCACGAGGAAAGAAGACATGGATGGGAATGGAGACACCGTCTAGGGGGTGGCGAAGTGAGAGACATCTCCTTTTGTCCCTCTGCCCCTGGGTTTATGACTGTGTCCTGCATGGGTGCATATATTCGCTTACTCCCCTCCCACACCCCACCCCTGCAGGCTACCAGCAATTTGCTGGGGCAGGAGCCCATGGTCTCCTTACTCCAGCTCTTGGGTTGGGTGTGCCAGTACCCACAGGGGCCCGGGGCAGAGCAGCTCCGCTTCTGGCAGCCCTCCCCTAACTTGTTTAAGATTCTGCTGGGCCATCCATTCTCTCTCTCACCTCCGAACACCCTCTGCTATTGGAGAGGAGGATCCACCTGGATTTAGAAGACTTGGGCCCTGACGTTGCCTCAGCCTTATACCGGCAGGCAAGTCCTTCAACTCCCATGAGTCCTAGTTTCTCAATCTGTAAAATGGGATCGATGATAACACCTGTCAACTTTGTCGAGCTCGCAGAAACTGTGGAGAGCCTCAAATGAGGTTAACTGTCAAAGTGCTTTGTAAAGAACTGTCCCATGGCCAGGGGTTGAGGTAGGCTTTTGATTTTCCCCCTGAAGTGATAGGCAGTTCCTGGTCAGTGTAACCCAGGTAGCAGGGGGCACAGTCACTGACACTCAATATAAATTTGTAAGGGGATTGATTGGCTCCCCTCCTCCCAAAACACTGTCCCCACGGTAATTAACTCTTGTTCTCCCTATGCTCTCCTAGCCAATGCAGTGTTTGTGCAGGATTCACTGTGAAGGGTGTCTAGCTGGATGGGCTCCAGGTGGCCCCAGCGGCCTGTCATCCCGACTGATGAGGCCATGGGCTGGTGCATGCCAGCGCTGTCCACTCAGAGGGGGAAGGGTCCGTCTCAGGGAGCCAGTGCAGCTGGCAGAGTCCAGGTCTGTGGGCACCGCGGGGACAAAGCGGCTCTGAGCTGCCTCTCAATGGGTGCCTGTGTTCTGGGAATGGGGGCGGGGTGCTCTCAGCCTCTTTTCCCTCTTCTCCCACCCCCCCCCTTCCCCGCAGGACGTCCTGGGCTGGACACTGGGGCAGAGGAGGTCCTGCCCCTCTAGGGTTGGCCCATGTGCCTGGGTACTCGGAGATGGCACCAGGATCGGGGCTTCTGGGGTCCGGGATACTGATTGGGCCCAGGCGAGGGGCGGGCCCAGGGCACGGAGAGGCCTCCCTGGCCGCAGTGTCCAGCGGCCCGCTGTGGCCACGGTGGCTCTGGCGGGAGGAGCCACCTTGGAGCCGGGGGCGGGGCGCAGGGCAGTACCGGGCTGGGTGAGGGGCGCCCCGCTCCTGTGCCCGGGCCGGGTGGGCGTCGCCGGTGGGTGGCCCCCTGGGCCGGGCGCGGAGCGTGGAGGGGGCGGTGGGGGGGGGCCAGGGTTACCGCGGCCCGGGCCTTAGTCCCGCCCTCGCAGGAGGCGGGAGAGGAAACCGAGCCTGGCGGCGGGTTGGGCCCCGCAGCAGCTCCCGCCGGCCGGCTTCGTCCTGCGCTCCCTGCTCCCGGCGGCCGGGCCCGGCCGCGCCCAACCCCCGCCATGCGGCCCCCGGGGCTCTGCGGGGCCGCGCCGCTGGCCGCGGCCGCCCTCCTGGTGCTGGGGGCGCCCCTGGGTAAGGGGGTGCGCGGCGGGGTGGGCGCGGGGCTCCCTGGGTGCTGCCGGTGCTCAGGGAGCGGGAGGAGACACGGCCGGGAGGCTGGGCCACGGGCCGCTGA